TCCGGCCACGTTCAATACCACTTTCTCAGTTAGCAGAACAGACACGTTCTGCACCACAGCAGCAACAACTCCAGCCGCAGCAGCAACAACTCCAGCCGCAGCAGCAGCAGCAACAACAACTGTCACCACAACAGCAACAGCCTCAGCCGCAGCAGCAGCAGGTGCCACAGCAGTTGCCGCCTCAGAAGGCTCAACAGCCGACGACTTCACAGCAGAAAGAGCAGCCCATGCAACAGTCGCAGGATGAGCAGGGTCAACAGTCGTTAGCTTCTACAGCCCCAGCTGATGCTGTACCTGTTGACCGGCAGGTGACTCGATCTGGTCGGTCAGTCGTAAGACCAGCTCGGTATAACGGATGAGACATTTTATACATGTAGGATATGTAAATATTATATTATTTGCATGGATTGATTGAGATGATCGTGAATGCATGTACGTGGTTCTCTTGTTGCATTTGTATATATCAGTATAATGCTCTGTATAGTACATACCACACATAGAACATTGAACTTTGATAATTGGCACGTCAGACGATGGTACATTATTACATTGTCTGTTCTATGCTATTGTTCCTTGTCATGAAAATGTTTTGTTTTCGGTGTTACCTCTTTTTGCGAGGGGGATATTGTTATATATGCACTCTGATGTAATATATTATGTACTCTGTATGCATTTGTATATACTCATTGCGCATGCTCTGAATCATGGTCTTACTCTACATGTATCCATGCCGGCTGGTTGACTCTGGTGAGCTGCGTGTGAGACTGCATGTAGGGTGTACGTGGATACACAACACACGGCGAGGGCTCCCCACCATGTCGCTATACGCTGGGCAAGTGGAGCAGGTAGCAGATCATCCCACTTGCCTTGTTCCTTCCAGGCCTCTTGCAGCAGCATCTTGCCTGTCAATACTGCTGGTGACACCAAGCCGAGCGGATCAAACGTCGCTGCTACGCACTTCAACAGGGTACGCCTTGTCCATGCCTTGGGAGTAGACACTGTATCACTGTGGGAGAGGGAGAGTGTGTCGTCTGTCGAAGACCAGGCGACGCCGAGGACCTTGCCTGTAGCTGCTGAGGTGCTGTCGTTGCTAAGACGCCACTTGCGGAGCTCCATGCCAGCTTCCGCCAGAACCGAACAGCTGAACTCTTGGAACTGTTCGGCTGATTCAGCAGACTCAAGAGACGACACACAATCATCCACATAGAAGCTGTTAACCCTTTGAGGCCCATAGTACGGATATATCCGTACCAGTGCACAGTGCATACGTTTCAAAGCGCAACCTGGCGTAACTCGGCTGTCCCTTGCCCAAATCGGACAATGGAAAGGGCTATCGACATTAGAATTGCCTCAGCTATCGGCTCGACAAAAGATAGATACGAGACTCGAACTAAATTCGCTCAGCAGAGTCAACTCGAGCGCGTGCATTTTGAACTCGTGTTTAGGGGGTTTCCCCGACTCGCGGCCCACACAGCTACAGATAGTTCACGTCATCGCAAAGGCATGTTTCTCAGCTCTCTAGTAAAAATTAATAATTTGAGCGATCTGCGATGCAATTTGTTGAAATGGCAGAGAATTTGAGTTGGGCGCTCGCAATGCTGGCTTTGGAGCGCCGTATCGCGCTGCGGCGCTGGTTCTGTGGATCAAGTGATATATTGCTGGCTATCGCTGTGTTCCTCTGGCCGAGAGCTTTCCAGAAAGCCCAAGATTGCCAAAATCGGCCAAAGGACACCAAAGTTACGACCAGATAAGGACCTGGGCTCGCGTATGCAGTGCATTTCTTGAAATAATTGTGGGCCCTAAAGGGTTAAGTAGGGCTTCCAACAGTCGTTGCTGATCCGCCGGTGCATCTTGCTGAAGCTGCGTAAGGTGCTTCTGGATGACAGCAGTCAGGATGAATGGCGAACAGTTTACACCAAACGGAAGTCGTTTGAGACGCCACGTTGTCATGACACCATGTTCATCAGGCCACAGGAAGCGCAAATACTGGCGGCCCTGTTCTTGCACAGCAATCATGAAAAATGCCTTGCGAATATCAGCTTGCAGGCCAACTGGCAGCTCTCTAAAGCGCAACAACATACCTGTCAGGTCCGGCAACAATGAGGGGCCAGGATCCATGACATCGTTGAGGGACTTCTCACCTTTCCGGGCAGCTGATGCATTGAACACTACTCGTACTTTGGTGGTCTCGGCTGCTTCCCGAATCACAGCATGGTGTGGCAAATAATAGCCAGGCGTGTGCGGTTACGGCTCTTTCTCGATGGCTCCGAGATCCTGATACTCACGGAGCAGCACATCATCATACACAGAACGCTTGTCCTTGGATGCTAGCGACTTTACCTGCTGATTAGCTGCTGCTAGAGCTTGACTGCGGTTGTCAGGTGGCCGTTCCTCGGACTTCCATAGGAGTCCCACTTCATATGTGCTACCCTTCTTGACCATCAGGAATGCAGGTAGGTCACTTGACTTGACGAGTGGCTCATCCAGCTCCCAGAGAAATGATACATCTGTCTGGATGGAAGAGACCTTGATAGCAGCTGCGTCCCGGCTCGAGTCGTGTGTGGGTCCAGACATAATCCAACCAAACGCTGTGTTCCACACACACTCACCGCCTTCCTGTCTCTTCTCTTGCAGAAATTTGTTAGCGTAATCAGCTCCCAGCAATATGTGAACTGACTCAGATACACCATCGGCTGGCTGATCACTCAATGAGACACCACGTTCCTTCCACCTCTGCACACTCTGGGCTGAAGGACGGGCTAAATCCATGTCAAACCCAGGCTTTTCCATGACTTCAATAGAATGCGACTCGCCATCCTTATCGGTAAGGTGAATACGGTACAAGCTGAAAGTGTCAGCAACAGGCTTAGTGCCGAACGCTTGTATGGTCAGGGTTTTCTTGCCGATGGCCTGTGGCTTGATGGCTTTGACTAGCTCTGGAGAAACGAAACTGGTCTGTGCGCCCAAATCCAGAAACACTCTCACGTACGCAGCACGGACACCGGACACTCTAGCCACGGCCGTCATCAGCAATACTTGCTCTGCCGGAGAACGCAAACACTTCATCTTGACGACAGTTTTGCTCTGCTCTGCACGAGTACTGCTGCTGCCGCTGTAGCTGCTGCCACTACTATTGCTGGAATTAATACTACCACTGCTACTGTCATCATGAAGCAGGGTATGGTGTTTCTTGCCACATTTTCTCCAGGTAACACTACTATTACATCTCCTCCGGCCGTGCCCTGTCCGCAGGCAACGATAGCAAAGGCCATTGGTTTGCGCATGCTCTCTCCGCTGAGCAACAGGCATGCTATGGAGCTTCTTCTCGACATCGGCAGTGGACAGCTAGAAGCACTGTGCTGATCCCTTGGGCTCCCAGGCCATGGGTTTCTGGTCGGACCCAGAACGTACACCATGGGCTTCCTGATACGCTGTACCCAGCTCCGTGATCTCTTCAAACGTTTTCTCGCCGATCTTGTTTTCCAGCAAGTACGCACGGAGGTCAAGCGAGCATCCCTGAAGCACAAATTGGCGGACGATTGCCATGAACATCTCACTGTTCCCAATGCTATGCTTCTGGTCCTGGGGCACTCCAGATAGCGATGCCCACTCTTGCACCAGTTGCACGACATACGTGACGTACCTGAAAAACGTGTCGTCCTTCTGCTGCCGCAGAGACAGGAGCTCGGACCACGTCTTCTCGGCAGTCTTGCCAAAACTACGTGTCACTTGAACTTTAGCGCTATCATAAGTTGTGACATGATCCAGCACCGGTTCAAGCCTTGTCCCCATCGCAGCCGAACGGAGGGCCAACAACCACGTAGATTTTTCGAAGCCATTTTGCTGAACAACAGCCTCAAATGTTACCAAATAACGCCGGATGTCCTGTTTGTCGGTGTATTTTGGCACGTCCAACTTGTGGGGCGCTTCTGCGCGTCGTTACTGCCACTCCCACTCGCGGCCTGGAGTTTTTCTATCTCCTTCTTACTGTCCAGCTCCTTCTCAGCGATTCGTTCTGCACGGTCTTGTGCTCTCTGGTCCCTATCGGTTGCTTCGGTGAGCTTGCGCTCCACGAAAGAGACCAGTGCCTCGCCAGAATACCCGTAATCCTTGCCAAGCTTTAGGTAACTCGTCTCCAAGTTCATCCATCCAAAAGCCTCAGCGCTTCCACCAGCACCAGGCGATTTCCTTTCGGCTTCGGACTCGGCCATGCTAAGCCAGCACGCTGCGATGCACGATTCTGCACGGTCTTGTGCTCTCTGGTCCCTATCGGTTGCTTCGGTGAGCTTCCGCTCCACGAAAGAGACCAGTGCCTCGCCAGAATACCCGTAATCCTTGCCAAGCTTTAGGTAACTCGTCTCCAAGTTCATCCATCCAAAAGCCTCAGCGCTTCCACCAGCACCAGGCGATTTCCTTTCGGCTTCGGACTCGGCCATGCTAAGCCAGCACGCTGCGATGCACGATTCAAATTTTACTGGGTGGTCGCCAAATATTGGTGTCGGGGTCCCAATGCATCCCAACACTCAACAGTATACTATCAGTTATAGTTACATTACATTATATTACTGAAACGGAAAGCCATCTTTGTCTCCAACCAAAGCAACAACTCGCGGAGCAACCAAAGAACAACTAAACTGAAAAGAAGAACCACATGGTTCAAAACCAATACACAAACCCGGCCCGTATCGCGTATGCCAGCGACACGTGCATGAAAGCAAGTACGAGTACAGAATGCAGAAAAGTAGCTTGCATGAAAAGTGCGTAGCGTTCACACCTGTATGCTAACCCGCACTACAACTCGCGTACTATACAAGGGACTAGTACTGCGCAGTAGGCACGCATTCAAATAAGCTGTAGACATGCATGCACTGCATAAATCTCCAAGTCCTCGTACAAACTGTGCAGTGCTGCAAAGGTACAAGTAAATAAATATCAAACAAATATCAATGTGCAGGTCAGCGACACGTGATGTTCACGAACTTTGCAACAATCATACTTACAGCTCGACCAAAGACGACAAGTTTTTAAACGTGTCCTTTGATATAGTTGTGATCCCATTGCTAAACAAAAATCTAATAATGAAGCACAAAAAGATGAAAGCGATGATGAATTTGTCATCTCAGAATCGGAATAAAGTGATAATACTCAGTCTATCATCAGTTTCAGGACATAACCTCTCTTTCATTAGACCCGACTAGACCACACGAAGCGGACCAGGCATCATGACTTTGCACATGACCGTTATGCTGCTTCATTACGCGACCTGTTTTATTATTAATATCCTATGTGGAGATAATGTTGAAAGTCTTTGAGGCAGTTTGTATACGTATTCATAAGCCTGTTTTGTGTAAGCAGAAAGAGCACGTTGTTGCACTTGTTGCCGTGTGACTACCCTGATCTAACAATACTCATGCCAGTTGCACTACAAACAATCCACTCATGACATCTTGCTCTAAAAGGCGAGCTGCCTGCAAACTTGGATTCACACAAGAGCCATAAGAACACGAGGTCAATCTTGGTGATCATAAAAAGGAGAGGCTGATTAGGAACGCGCATGCCTAATTTATACGGTTCAAGATCTCGCATGCTTAATATGCGCGCGTACCATACTGCGCATGCCTATAGCCATTCAGAATATGGAAGGAGCGCGGCAAGGTCAGAAAAAGTAGGCTCTAGCACTACAAATTTATGTCTAAGTGATAATTATGGAAATTACGATCGCGTTCACGACATTCCGGCCAGCGAGAAGAAATGAAGAATGATACTCAGTAAACATATCTACACAATGAACTGAATGTAAAGAAAGGAATATGCAATGTAAATAGCTCCGAATACTGTCAGCCTTGAAATTCATGAATACAAATCTGTGCCGAAAATGATCTACGGTACCTAAACAACGCAATGGTGGGAGAGCTGTATCAAACTTGACTCAATGATACCGTTACTATACTGACTGACTGCATGATATATTGACACTAGTTACATCTTCAGATAAACTTACTGTTCATGCATCTGAATACTCATCTTGAAAGTTCACCTTCGGAAATAAGGCAATCTACTTTTAAACTACTTCAATAGTACATGTATGCTGCAGTATATGTAGCAAAGGAGGTTCGCATAAGCAGCATGTTCATAACAAAGATCAGAAGGCAATCGTGTTCATGCTGTGTATGTATATAACGTTACAGTGTATAAGTGTGTGTGTGTATGTGTGAGTTTGTGCATGGGTGTACAAGTGTTCAGACCATCATAGTATAGCTTACTATCCGGTGCACTCATTCTTGTTACTAAACTGCTCCGTCGCGTATAAGCTTACCTAGCTGTTCTTGAAACCGAGCTGCTGCGTGCCGCTTGGGCCGAGTCGTGCCGGTGGCGTCACTACTGGATGTACTCTCAGTCGCCGATACTGGTTCAGGTTCACTACTCACCTGTGCTGGTGTTGATGGACATTCCAGCGGGTAAAGATGACATAGCGACCGTCTGACTGTCCTACCAGTGGGGAGCTGAATGGTGGCGGATCTTGTCTCACCATCTGAAGGAAGATTCGTGCAGTTTCACAATGCGGCCGATTGGCCAACTAACTCGGGGCAGTGTTTCCTCGCGGATGATGACAACTGTGTCAACTGCTGGCTCGTCAGTGGCACGAATACGTCCTTGTCGTAGCTGGTAATCGCCACGCTCTCTCAGTGATGCTTGTACGCGTGGAGACGCTTTCCACCGCACATCAGAAACCGAAACGACAACTTGCTCGTCTTCTCAAGAACTCTCAACAACGAAGACACTGGCGCACGCAAAGCTACGTGGCACACAGCGCTCCAAAGAAGAAATGCGTAGAGATCACGTGCATGCATATGAGAAAAACAATGATGTCACGCTGCCATGACGATACACAAGCTGTACTGGCACGGAGTGGACAAAAATAATGGAAAATCAAGAAAAGTCAGAAAATAATACAAACAGTGAAATTCGAAAGTAGAAGTCAAAGGAAGTTCAAAGAACAAGGAAAACGAAGATCTGTGCTGATAGGAACTCAAAGCAATTTCAACCATGTCCTGTCAGAGAGTGTTAGCACCCACAGGGTGAAGGCAAGCCTTGTCAGAGCAGAACCTACACTAGGACGGACTAGAGCTGCAGAACGGACTTTCTGAAGGAATGCAAAGATAAGTAACAATTCAAATTCGAAATAATCAACTTAGAAACAACACCAGCTGTTTTGTAACCTGTAAACTGCTTGTAACAATCAGTGATGTACTAGTAATTAACTCCTAGTAAACGCTTTGACTGTGCTCTCGGAAGAACGAAGGATTAACAAAATATAGAATAAACACAGTAGATAAATAATTGTGACACTCGTAAATTCTACAATATCTGGAGTCTTCTGCACAGTACATGAAGAACACACAGATCGCACAGGGAATACACAAGAGAACAGAGCGCACACAGATCGCACAAAGATCGCACAGAAAACACACAGAACGCACACCACTGCATACTGTCTTCTGAACAATGCTAGATACTCGTCTTGCCATAATTGCCAGAAGCGATTCAGCTGCTGCTGACATACATTGAACTTCTGGAGAAGTAAATCACCAGAGGCTTTGACACAGAAATCTGGATCATTCGTATCTAACTGCTCACCCGGCAGTGTTAGAGTGTTGTTGAGGCACAAGAAGTGTGCTGGTGTGAGGATAAACCCATTGAAATCCTCACCCACATACGTGAGAGGTCTACTGTTGAGGATTCCCTCTACTTCTGTCAGCAGTGTGCAAAGTTCCTCGGCCTTTAGAATTCGTTTACCGAGGGATTTCCTGAGCATTAGCTTTACGGACTGGACGAGGCGTTCATACACCCCTCCCATCCATGGTGATAGTTGAACGATGAACCGCCATTCAATACCCATAGTGGCAAGTGTCGAGAATACATTCGCATTGGTATTAATGGATTTCCACAATTGCTCCATTGTGACGTCAGCCAATTTAAACTGTTTAGCATTATCAGACACGATTGTAGCCGGTGTACCGCGGCGAGCGACGAATCGCTTAAACGCCATTAGAAAGCTGTCAGTAGTCATATCTAGTACAAGCTCTAAGTGCAACGCCCGTGTTGCCAGACAAGTGAACAGTACCACCCAAACTTTCTTGTTTTCTCCATTGGCTTTAACAGTCAGGGGCCCAAAGTAATCAATGCCAGTCCTGACAAATGGTGCGCGGCGGGTTACCCGTTCTTTGGGGAGAGGTGCGAACTTGGGCATTGCAAAGGGGCCACCCTCAAACCGTTTGCATACCTTGCACTGATTAACTACATTCGTGACCTCTTTTCTACCTCGTGTCACCCAGAAACGTTTACGTAATTCCACAAGCGTGTGACTAGCGCCAGCGTGGAGAACTCTCTGGTGTACATCAGAAATGATCAATCTCGTCAGCGCACTCTTTCCGCAGAGGAGAATCGGGAATTTAGCATTTGATGGCAGTTCTGCATTCTTCATCCTGCCTCTGCACTTGATTAGGCCGTCTTCTTTATCAATAAAGAGACCCAACTTGAACATCAAGTCGCCCTTGGTTTTCTTGTTGTTCTTGATGGCTTCCAGTTCTGCTGAGTAATCAGTGGCTTGCGCATGTTTCAGCCAAAGCATTTCCGCGGTCTGAAGCTCGTCAACCGATAGGTATGGTGATGTTGGACGAGACTTTCTTGCTGACTTTATGAAACGCTGTACCCATGCTGTAACCCTGATCACTTTCGCGAAGGATGATGATTTCTCAATACGAATACCAGCCGGTGGGGGGTTGCTCGCCTGTTGCTCCGCAGGACCCTCCCCCGACAAAGCGGCGTGAACGACTTCTTCTTGACAAGGATCAGTATCCGGTGCCCATTGCATGTCCGCCAACCACTCGGGTCCTGTCCACCACAGATTACTTTTGAGGAGGGTTGCAGTCGTGGTGCCTCGTGAGAGTTGATCGGCAGGATTGCTTCTTGTGTTCACATAACAGAATTGCACGTCTTCATTGCGGCGAATTTCTGCGACTCTATGTGCTACGAACGTCGGCAGATCCTTGCCCTTCCCTTTCACCCATCCTAGCACACATTGAGAATCTGACCACAAGTACGTAGTGAGCTGAAGAGGGAGTTCTTTCCGTAAGAAGTTGATCATTCGAGCACCTAGCGTGGCTGCGAGTAACTCCAACCTTGGTATTGTTGTTTCCTTTAACGGTGCCACACGAGACTTGGCAAAGAGTAAGCGAACAGACACGTTCGTCGAGATAGTGCGTAGATACACCACGGCTCCGTAGCCTGCCTTTGATGCGTCACAGAAAACATGGAGCTCATACCTTGGTTCAACGTTGGAAGTGAAACTCGAAAGTCTTGGTATTCTGGTTTGGCTGGCTGCGGATAAGTCACGAGCTATCTCCTGCCACTCTGTAAGAATAGCTGCTGGCAAGACATCGTCCCAATTGCACTTCAGTTTCCAGATCTCCTGAAGTAGAACCTTCGCGCGGAATACGATTGGTGAATAGATTCCCAGTGGATCGTAGAACGATGATAACACGCTCAGCATGTGTCGCTTCGTCTGAACGTTTTTGAGTTCAGCTGGGTTTGGAGTGAGCCCTAGCTCATCCAAGTTTGTGTCCCACTCCATACCAAGGACCTTGACGAGTTGAGCGATTGCGCGATCGCTCTCGGGGATCTGCTGCTTGAGGGACTCGGAGTTTTTCGCCCACTCCCGTAGATTCATTGATGCATCAGCGAAGATGCCCTTGACTTCTCGATAGTACTCTACTGCGTCTTCTACGCTTTCCGCTCCGCCGAGGACATTGTCGACGTAAGTGTTATTCTCTACAGCCTGCGATTGCGTGTTCTCTGCAGAACTGATGTGGTGTCGTATGGTGGCACCAAGCAAGAACGGACTTGCGATTACGCCAAAGGGGATGCGGCAGAATCTGTAGATGACGATGTTGTCACCTCTGGGAGGCTTGCTGGGGTCTCGAACCCAAAGAAAGCGTGTGACATTGCGGTCACGGACATGTAAGCCGACTTGCAAGGATGCCTTCTCGATGTCGCTGCTCATTGCTATGGG